GGTTAATTACATACTTAATTGTGTTTGTTAATAAACTATTCCAAATAAATGTGGATGTGAATCAGAAATCCATATAATAATAAGTTATGAAAATTAATGTCTCTGTTGTTATAAATAAGCATTTGTCAAAAAATGAAATATAATTTTTACGGTGTTACTTTTTACCACACTGTCTATTTATTTATTTATTTATTTCGTATGAGAAGCACAAATACAGGATATGTGAATACATTCTATAAAACATACACAGAGATAAGCATATATAAACAAACAAATAGTTGTAAAAGAAAAAAAGAAAACATGCATGAGAAATATACCACACTGTCTATAATACACATACATACCAAATTCAGTTTTTTAGTATTTGGAGCAAATATTAATAAACGCAAACAATCAATTAATGCAGTTTGAATACTGGAATCATATTAATTGGTCGTCTTTAACAAATATTTAAACAGGTTTTTTTTATTTTTTAATGAAATAAACAATCATCATCACTGTACAACATCTGTACTCTTTAAAAATTTGGTACATCTTTAAAAATAATCTAAAATGTCAGTATTCCATGCGTATGTTGATAAATGAGTTCTAAATTACAAGAAGATGGCTTTTCTACGGAAACTTGAAGAGATAGGTAAAAAATGGTATAATGCAATTTGATAGACAATTAAATTGTGCATCTGATTCTTATAAAATATGCAGGGTGTTCTATTTAAATTAAACAAGTGTTTGCCGTTTAAAGCTAGTAATTATTTAAAATAAAATTTTAGACACTCTGTATAAGGTAGTATAATTTTTATTATTACAACACAATATCTGATCAATAAATAAACTTCAGCAAATATTTAGTATTAAAAACTTTGATGCCCTCGGAGAAATGAAGACTTAACATTTTGACTGCAATTTCACAAAATTGAAAATATTTCAAAAACGGTAAGGTTTAAGTGTAATAAACCTTAATCAAATTTACCTTTATTTTAATCGTAAAAACTAAAAATGTAATAATATGCAGAGTGTTCCATTTAAAAAAATAGAACTTTGATATTTTTTATTTATTTCGGACACTCTGTATCTTGGAAAAGTATTTTTAAATTGTAGCTTTAATAGTCCTTCAACGAAGCCAAAACTTACAATTGGCAAAAATCTAATCTACAATACTCCGTGTCGTATGTGGCGAACAACTCTGTATAATGTAAGAAGAAAATGATTATCGGAGAAATAAAAGGAATAAAATTGAACAACAAATTTTATTTAAAAATCAATTGTTTCTCTGTTAATCTACCATTAAATAAATAAAGTAATGAAGGAGCCTCTAAATAAAGTAGTGAAGGACATCAACAACTTAATAAACAACTTATAGTCTAAGAGCTAGCAACGTTTTCGGGAAAGTATTTTAAGACGTCTGGCTCTTTGATATATCTTTTACTATGCTCTCTAGAACAGCATGCGGCTCGTCTGACTGCCGATACCCGTTGCGTTCACTACTGCGCATCGAAAGAAGATCCTATATTTTTTATTAATTTAGTCCTATAAATTCTAGTATTGAATATAAATCGAACATGTCTCCATAGCGCAGTGCGTAGAGTTTCCGACCACGAACCGATGATTCAGAGTTCGAATCCCGGTCAGGTCAAAGACATTTTTATTTTATTTTCGTTTATATTCTGATAGTAAAGTATTAAATAATTCTGGAAATTAAAAAAAACAAATATTTAACACTTTACTATCAGAATATAAACGAAAATAAAATAATAAAGTCTTTGCCCTGACCCGGATTCGAACACTGAATCATCGGTTCGTGGTCGGAAACTCTACGCACTGCGCTATGGAGACATGTTCGATTAATATTCAATATTCGAATTTAAAGGACTAATAAAAATATAGGATCTTCTTTCAATGCGCAGTAGAGAACGCAACGTTTAGCGGCAGCCAGACGGGCCGCATGCTGTTCTAGAGAGCATAGTAAAAGATATATCAGAGAGCCAGACGTCTTAAAATACTTGTTTTTCCGACGTTGCTAGCTCTCGTACTATTAGGTCCACGTTATAAATTGCTCATTTTATTTTACGTTTAACCAATAACTGTAAATTTTAATAAAAATTTATTAGAAAATATATATTTTACAAAAATAAGTACAATAATGTAATAACTTAATAACAAAAATAAAGATGCTATAAAAATAAAAATAACCAAGTAAAGTTGGTTTGGTAGTAAAAAATTGACACAATCTAATTATTTTTAACGAGCAATATTAACGAGGAAACGGGTCCATATAGCACAAGTGATTATTTCTAAAGCCACTTTCTAAGATTGACAATAATCCCACTGTAATTTAACTCCCCACCATATGTGTTTCCAGAATGTCTTTTCCAGAAAATAAACATACAGTATGTCCCCGGATTTTCTTTACAAAAGGCGTTAATTAAAAACTTTATTATTATTGATACTTTGAGAAAAATGTATTCTTCATAACAAAAATTGCTTGTTCCAAAATGGTTAATGCCTCAAACGTATCAGTCCTTGAAAAAGCAAGCTGCGAGAGCGCTGAAGTCAAGATTACTAAATCCCGCTTAAGGTGGGCTGGCCACGTATGTAGGATGCAAGAAAACCGCCTACCGAAATCTCTTCTTTACGGTGAGTTTGTAGAGGGTAACAGGAAACCGGGTGGACAACTCAAAAGATACAAAGATAAGTATGCAGTATCAGTGGAAGGAAGCAGCGCACAATAAAACGCAATGGAGGAGCATTGTAAATTCAGTTAACCACGACAACCAAAAAGTAAAGAGGCAACAAATGTAATGAAATTTTTGAATGTCCGGAGTGCGAAAGAGATAACATCACGTATCGGGCTTTTCAATCACAGAAAAGCTTATGAAAGAAAACGCCTTTTTCTTCTGATGCGTGTCAAATACTCGTCAGCGAGTAGTAAGTAATGTCGTTTATACTTTTACAAATTTCCATACCGTTTTAGAGAAAATAAAAAAAAACATGAAAATATGGCTGAATTTTTTCTAAATTCTAAAAATCAAGAGGCGTTTCTATGGTAATATAATTTCAATTTCATTCTTTGATAGATGGTTATTATTAGTTTTAATTAACGTCATATTTTTGGCTGTTTCTGTGATGTTTTTCCTTTTTTCCGAAAACTATTATTACACTTTCTGTAGCGTTGAACTAAATAAATTTTGTGCTTCTTTAACAATTTAAAACAGAAAAAAATGACATTAATTAAAATTCTATCATCTATCAAAGAATAATCAAATCTATCAAAGAATGAAAACGAAATTATATAACCGCAGAATTTTTTTTTAAAAAACCGTTTTGATTTTTGGACTTCAACTATATTTTCATGTTTTTTTTTACTTTTCTTTAAAACTGTATGGAAATTTATAACAGTATAAACAGAATTAACCATGTTTGAACAAGCAAAATTTTTTGTTAAGAATGCATTTTCTCAAAATGTCAATAATAAAGAAGTATTTCCTCTTGTAAAGACAATCCGGGGACATACTGTAGATATACGCATCAAACTAGCAATAAATAAAATTTGTTAAGAGTAACGTCACAAATAATAAATAAGATGTCTCATATTAGTTACATTTAGTTAAGTGGCTTACGTCTTTAATGTACGCTTATTAAAACTGTATTTGACTCTCCTTCGGTAATCTATTTGTTAAAAGTAATCCCATCAAAAACATAGAATGTAAAAAAATGCCAAGTCTCGCAACACAGTTCCTCCGCTATAAAAAGTTGTGAGATCTCATGTAAAACCAAGTCAATTTGTTTTATTTAGTCTCTCTTTAAGCAAATTCAACAATTTTGTTACAAATTGTTAGTATCTATATTAGTCGTTTTTATTTCTATAATAATTATAATGCCTTGGCATTTGCATGCACAGCACCATAATTATAAAAAAGAATAATCTACTATTTCGATTACTAAGCAAATCTAAACGGTGCACTTAGAATAAAGTTTTTTAATTACTATATAGAATAGCATATCGTGCAATTGCTAAGTCATTATAATTATTATAGAAATAAAGATGACGAGATTTTTTTTGTCCTTCCATTATAAGCTTAAAACTACCAAAAATTCAAAATTTGAAGTTTGTGACACATCTAGAAGTATTTTAGAATTTTGATAACGGCGAGTGAGTCACTGACTAGTTTGAGTAGAAAAAAGAAGTTTGACTAGAAAAAAATAATATTCCTTGAATTATTGTTTAAGATAATATGTTGTTAATATTTTACAATCATTAATTAAAATGAAATAAACAAAATTATGCCCCGAGGCAGCCTCGAACTCGGGCCTCCCGGTGTACTAGCGGAATACTTTCGCGCCGCGCTATCAAGCATTGCTCGATATATGTTCAAGCCTAGCATTTAACATATTGAACTAAAAAAATAAATAGGGACTTCATTACAAGTTAAAGTCTGACTAGAAAAAAATCATAATCTTTGAATTGTTGGTACATGATATATAAATAAAATCAGAAGGGGAGACCGCTCCGATTAACTCTAGTTTTCTACCTTTTTCTTGACTGGAAAGCCAGTTACCGGTAGCGGCTAGACAGCTAACTTTTAATCCATAAGGATATTTCGAGATTTTTCATTTTTTGTTTGGTTATAAGCTTAAAGCTACCTAAAATTCTAAATTTGGAGTTTGTGACACATCTAGAAGTACCTTAGAATTTTGATGATCTGTCGGTGAGTCAATGTCGAAATTAAAGAATTTTGACAAGCGATAATTCATAAACTCTGAGGGATAATTACTAGATATTTTGGCAACCTAGCCAGCTATAGTATGTCTTCAAGTGTAGTGAAAATTAATATTCTTGCTTTATCCACAACGAAGTTACAGGGTGGTCAAAAGTGCCGCTAATACCTTCGAGTAAAGGACTGTACGGCTGTGCTCGACTTGGCGGGGGCACTGCCGTGCTCCCAGATCTACGGACCAGTTACTAAAATAGTTTAGTAAAATTTCTTTTTCTTTTGTTTCAGGCTACGCTAGCTATTCTAGATAAACTAGATATAGATGCAGAACGTCCAAATGACGAGGAAGTGGCCAGAATGTTCGGTTACGAAGAAGCGTACCATGCAGGTACTCTTACTAGATGGCAAAGGCTCAAGCCAAAAATATGGGCGTTGTTCGACGAACCATATTCTTCGGCCTCCGCAAAGGTACCACCCGTCAATGTGCATCATCGAAATGTGAATATATATTTTTACTAACTCAATCATATTTAGGAAACCTCTTTCCTTTAAAAATGATCTAGTAAAGTTTGTAGTAATGTAGTACTAAGTATATTTAGACTGCATGTCTCTTTTACAAGCTTTAATTTAACTTGCAATGTTTGTATGTGACTTCTTTGTTTAAAATCTATGTTCTCAAATCTCTGCTTCTTCAATTACTTCTAATCAACTAATTTTTAATTACGGTCTGGTAGCTAGTCCACATGAGTGAAATTATTGAAATATTTTTGTAACCTCTCTTTTTTGTTAATAATGACAAATATGTATTAGTATTGTATACTACGAGTTAATAACTCATCATACAGTCTCAGGGCTTTAACAAAAGTCAGTATCTGAGACGGCCCCACAGAGGCCAGCTCTCCATCCTTGACATCAGCCGTACCCAAGTTCATGGCACGAATGGTCCTCGTCTCGGCGCATTCAGTGATAAGGTGTTCTGGTGTTTTCCCATTTTTTCCACAGACTCTGCATTCGCCGTTGTTTCTCAGCTTTAGCCTACTGAGGTGTTCGTTGAGGAGACAGTGTCCTGTTAGAAACCCCGTGACCATCCAAAGGTTGTTTTTACTTAAATCAAGGAAAACCTTTGATTTTTTTCGGTCGTAATTTCTGAGGAACTTTTGCGAGTGTCTTAGACCTTTGGAGGACACCCATTCCAAGTTACGGATGGAGTTTTCCAGATTCTTCAGTTCCGCTTTCAGTTGGTTTCCGTTTGGAAAACAGAACGGTTCTGGTCCAGTTAGTGGAGTGTTCGCTCCTTTTCTAGCTAGATCATTTGCTTTTTCATTGCCTGCCTTCTATCCCTTGGTGAGCAGGCACCCAGAGTAGGGGGACTTTATTTTCTTTGCCTAATTTGTTGAGCTTCTCTAAGCATTCTTTGACCAACTTTGAATTAATGGTTACTGAGTTGATCGCGTTGAGTCCTGCTTGACTATCGGATAGGATGACAATTTCCTGTTTCGAAATTGTACGCATCGTTCAATAGCGTAAATTTCTGCCTGAAGTTGTTCGTGAGTGGTTCGCATAATAAACAAGATTAATTTGTGTGTATTCTTAATGTTGGCAAATGAATAGTTTTGTTGGATAATAAATAATTTGTGTATGTTCTAATTGTTTGGCAATCCTTACTAATAAATAAACGCGAAAGTTTCTTTGGATGTATGGATGTATGGATGTATAGATCTTTGTTAGTCTTTCACGCAAAAACTACTAACTAACTTGGATTTTAATAAAACTTTACAATAATATAGCTTATACATCATAATAACACATAAATTATAAATTACGGGTAGTTTGGTAGTTCGCTGAATATAACGCATTAGTGCAACAAATCGACGCTTTGACAAACCCCATCAACGAATTACATCAGCGCATAGTGTGTTAGGGGCTTTATTGTTTTAAGTTTCAGCATTTTTTTTGTGAAAAAACAGTGGTTGAAGGTCATTTATCAAAGTATGACAAAATATTCTATTCATATCGATAAAAATGTGAATTTTATGGCCGACTATGTTAAATGTTCAAATATATTTTTCCAATAATCGTTGGGGACCTCCAACGACAAGAAATACCCTTTAGACGAAATCGAATTCTATTGCTTGTTAAGGAAAAATTGAGTAAATCGAGTATATACATTATTTGTAAAAACGTGTCTGTGTTAGATACTTATAAATTTCCTTTAAAATTTGAGAATAATATATTATATTATTCTCAAATTCTTATATAATAATATATTATATATTATTATATTATATATATTATATATATATATATATATATATATATATATATATATATATATATATATATATATATATATATATATATATATATATATATATATATATATATATATATATATATATATATATATATATATATATATATATATATACATATATATATATATATATATAATAAGTTAAATAATATACAAAATATTTTACGTTTAATATACTATTTTATTTATTTTTTACTTCTCTTGTTGTATTTGTTATATAAATAGATACATAGTCTAAAATGACTTGATCGACGATATGATATTCTTAAACAAGGATAATTTTCTTCGATGGCATATCAATTGGAATGTAAAAAAATACAAAGTGAAAGAAGGCCATTTCTGCGTCTGTTTTTATCTGCTGTTCTGTTTTAAAGTGCTGTTGCGTAAGGAAATCTGTTATGTATAAAACATTTATTCTAATAATACAATTTGTAAACAATCCGTTAATTTTATCATAAATATTTTTCACTTATATTTTTCTCAGATTAGAATATTTTTAATCTGAATTTTTATGGAAAAATAAGAACTGGCGTGCATACACGGGTCGTTTCAAACTCGCAGCGGGACTGTCTCCGAACTTGGAACGAATCTCCCTACGTTCTATTTCCTACGTAAATAATAGTAGGTCTACGAACGGATCGTTTGGTGGTCGACGCGGAGTCGAAGTGATTGAAACCGGGACCCCATTATGCCACACGCCACGCCACGCGATGCCACCCCACGTCATGAAGATATGTGCGTATGCTTTTCCAGTTAATTACATGTATTGCGTACATACCAGGCAACTCCCCACGCTGTCACACGTATGATTCTTCTGTCGCAGATCTCATGTGTACATTCTTTCCCTCTTCGCAATACGTGGGCTCAGTTGAGCCCACGTGGGATAGCGTGGCGTGTGGCCTAATGGGATCCCGGCATGATACTATTATTTACCAACAAAGATAGGAGTTCGAGTCCCTTCCGCTTCAAAAGGCAGACGACCCGTGTGTGGACGCTCTATAGATTTACAGTATTATATATTATTTATACTAATAATGAGTCCTTTGATTATCCTTCTGATATTATAATATGAAATAAACTCCTCGGCACAAAATTCCGCCACCCTAAAATTTTGACTAAGTTTGATGTTTCATAACTTTTGAATTTGTAATCCGATATTTATGATTATGGTGTTAGTTTGTAGATACATTTGTTGGCATTATTTTTTTATTACTTTAATGGCTTATATCAAAACACCCTGTGAAAAAAATAGGACTGGCATTTTTGATAAAAAAAAAACTCTTTCCTGTATTCTTAGATTTATTCCTAACATTTCATTTTTTGAATTGTCCTATTATCGCTATTCTTTTATGAGTTACACATTTTTAAATAAAGGACTGATATTTTTACAATCTTGAATTTGTTGGAGTTCTCAATGCCCACCGTTATATGAGGTTGGACTACAAAGACTGTAATGGATTCCTTGTAGTCCCGACCTTAATCCAATTGAACATTTGTGTGATGAACTTAAAAGAGCTGTTTGTCCTTGTCTTATTCCACCACAAACTTTACAAGAGCTATGGCTAGCGAGATATAACTGCGAGATTCCTCCGTTAATGTTAGCCTTAGCTCTTGTAAAGGGCTTTCTTGATCTATAGCTTGATATTCATCAAGTACAGACCCGTTTATATAGCTATAACTGTTTATCAAGAAGGAGTAACTATCCTAATTCATTCGATAAGATGAAGACTCGAGTTGTTATTGCTGCGAGAAATGGACATATACGCTATTAAAATTATTGATTTTTCCAATAAAAAAAATCTGAAATCAATATTTTACTTAAAAATATGTCTAGCTCATAAAAGAATAGAGATAATGGGATAATTCAAAAAATGAAATGTTAGGAGTATACCGAAGATTACAAGAAAGTGTTTTTTATACAAAATGCCCGTCTCACTTTTTCCGTATTTTTTTTTGAATTTATTGCAAAAAACAACGTTTTGATTTACCCCGGTATAATCCGACCTACCCCAAGAATATAAGCCAATAGAGAAATAAATTTATCTTCATACTGGTACCATAATCATACAAATCGGATTACAAAATAAAAAATTATGAAACATCAAACTTTTAGAGTGGCGGAATTTTGTGCCGAAGAGTGAAATGGAATAAGTAGGTACATCACCCGACTTGATGTTTATGTACTTAATATTTCTTATTACGAAAAAAAATTATATAAACGTACAGGAAAATAAAATTCTTGTTTACCACCCTGTACACCAAAACACTATACTGGTGTTATTATACGCGTATTTCGCTAACCATTGTTAGCACCAGCAGCAAATAATAAAACTAGGCATTAATTAAATTTAATAATTTGCTAATGATGATAACATAGTGAAACCCGCATTTAGTGTTTTGATGTATAGAGGTAAAATCTCGTTCTATATTGTTGTTTTAATGTTACATGTTCCAGCGTAAATTTATATTTTAGATTAGAATAACTTAGATCTTTAGAAAAACGTTAGACAGATTTTAGATCAAATATTTCTGTTTACTGCTAAATTTTTCAGATTAATTAAAAATAGGGTCCTTCTGAATACATAACTTGCCAAACTAGGAGACACATATAGTTGTAGGCATCCATCCTATTTTTTTAATTAAATAAAAAAGTGTAATTCAATTATTACAATAGCAATATTTCTATCAAAATTAAAATCTAATTTTGTACAAGTTTTTTTTCTATTTGGCGAGACTAAAAAAAATAAAAAATGCTTATACCTTTGTTGTGGTTTTATCTCTTCAAAAAAGTCCTATGGGTATTTCGCCACCCGCGCTGTAAAAATATTACAAGTAGAGAGTACGATAAATTCTATAATACATATTGACTCTTATTTTTTACTTTCAAATGCACAAGGAATCATCTAAAATAGTCATGGTAATATATAAGTTAACTATAACTACAATACAAAATATTTTCATGGTGTCTGTCTGTTCGTCTGTCCGTCTGTAACACGATAACTCAAAAACTGCCAAACCGATTTTAACCAAATTTGGCACAAACATACTGTGACATCCGAGAATCTGGCCATTATTTTTTGGCGGGGGTGCGGGGTTGGTAAGGGGGTTTGGGAGGGGATTAAAAATTTTAAAAAATCGTAACTCCAAACTAGCGGAACGCGGTTTTCAATTTAAGATTAGGAAT